GGGGCGCCATGTTGAAAACAAAACAACTCTAGAGCCCCAGGCTGACTCCCATCGCCTGCAAGCGTTCGACAGGCCATTCGAGTAGATCCGCGTATGGACTGGAAACGAGTAAAGAGAACTGTGGGGCGCCCACCTTCTATGGGCTTTCTGTAAAGGGCCACAGTGAGCTGTCTCAGAGTAGACGGCGCATGCGGCAACCTTGAAGATCCGCGAAAGGTTTCTGACGGCTTCAATGTCGGGCCCCGCTGGGACCTGGACCCCGCGCCCCCCCCCCCCAGTCGCAGAGGGCGCTGCTGCCCAGCCCCCCAAGCCGAGCACCACGCCCGCACCTGTTTCCCGCATTTGCTGGAAAAAACGACGCAGAGAGGGCGCCGTCTGGGAGCTCGACCGGTCTTCCTTAAAATCAGAATCAAGCTTGGCGCACCGATGGGCTCTCGAAGCTTTCCCCGCCAAGGCCCCCTGACACCGCGAGTTCCATTTGCCCCTCTGACGTCCGCGCACTTTGGCGACGAGAATGATTTCAAGCTCCCCCAGGCTGGACACCGCCACATCAAGGCTGCCCAGCGGCCACTCGGACTTGCAGCCCGGAGCCAGGCGAGGGGGGATGGGAGCCAGAGCGAAGTCGACACAGACAGACGCGAAACCCTTGCCAATCGGCCAGAAGTTGCTGAATGGCCCCCCTCTCCGTTTGATCCCTGTAGCGTGCTGGAGAAGCTTGAGCGCGACAGGCTGGCGCCGCCTGTCAGGGCATTGAAACGACGTCTTCAGATCTCCCAAGCGCCTGGGAGGCCAGCCCACGCACCGGCCTTCCGAAACACGAGGGCTGCGTTGCGTGATCAACAGCCTGCGCGAATCAACATCTCCAGTTTTGTAGGGGGGGGGGCCCTGGACGGCCCCGGGCCCCCTCTCCGCGGCAAGTCTCTCGCATCTCTTCCAAAGCCTTCGCGCGCCACCCTTCATGCGCCACATTGAGGGCGCGCTCGAGTCCTTCATTATCCTCGGGCTCGGGGGCGCGATATCCCCCCTGAGCTTTGAAAGTCCCCAGGGCCCGTTGCATTCGGACGCCAGCTCGGAGTAAACTGGCGGCTGACGGCACGGCCCCACGGGCCGCTGCACTGGAGGCACCTCGCGTTTGCAAGGGCGCTTAAACTGCACGGAGAGAGGCCCCACCGCCACGCGGAGGTCCACGGCCTAACGCGGGGCAGACACGCTGCTGAGATCCGCGCTGACCGAGAGAAATGCCCCGGCGAGCGCCCTCCTGACCGCGAAGAAATCCAGCGCACGATGCACATCTTCGATATGGCACGTCGGCACCACTGGGTCGAAAAGCAGGCCAACTCCGAAACGGCCTGGTTCCAGCCCAACCTGAAGTCCACTCGGCGCGAGGTTGTAATCACCGCCCGAAATGCAGGGCAATCCTCGCGCGAGAACAAGATTTCCAAACTGCTTGCAATGCCGCACGCTTTCAATCCCCAGTCCCGCACCGGTCACCCAGTAGCACGAGTGCACGCTGAACGCCCCCAGGGCTCCGCGGCGACAGCAGGCGTGGAGAATCCTGCCCAGCGAAACACTGCTCTGCTTAGGATCTTGCCAAAAGTCAAGGTAGCTTCTGTACGGGGTGGCTTCCCCTCCTGTAGGGTACCCTTGTGCTGCGGTACTCGCGGGGGCAGAGAACCTGCCCCAGCCTGCCATGGGGCAGGTCTTCTTGGCTTCCGAAATGCTGTCCTGGCGCAACTTGTGCTCCTGGACTAAAATCACATGGGCCTCGGTGAATTTCGCATGCTCCAAGGCTCTCTTCCACCCCGAGGCGTTAACCGTGCAAACATGGAAGGACGGCCCGCCCGACACGGGGCGATGAGGGCCAGGGGGGCGCTCAGAGGGGGGGCGAGGGGACTTGACCTTATACTTGTTAATGCTAAAGGTCATCCTGATCCTCGCTCGGCTCGGAAGGCCAGCGCCCGCGGCGGCGGCTGCCTTCTGGCCGGGGACATGAGCGGCGGCAGGAAGCTTGGCCTTTGGCTCAGGGCGCGGGGGCTCCGACACACTTCGTTTGGCCCTGCCTCGAGGGCTCCTCTCGAGAAGCGATTCGCCTCTAGTGTCCGCAGCACGCTGGGGACGCCCTGGCGGTCCGTCTCGTTCTTCTCGCGGCTGGAGGGCGGCAGCTGCCGGGACAGGCACTGGCACTGGGGTGGATGGCCGCGCCGGGCCAGCCGGGGCCGCCGATGCCGAAGATGCCGATGATCACGCCAGAATTGGGCCCAGGATGTCCAAAGCCTCCTTGATGCGCTGCGCGTCTTCGCCCTTCTGAGCGACCTTGCTTGCTGCCACCTGCTCGAGCTGCGTGAGGAGGCCTTCCGCTGTGGTTGTTGTTGCCGACTCCTGGGTCGCGAGCACCTTCTGGCATTCCTGCATACGCTGTTGAGCCTCCTAGAGGTTGGCCCTCTCGTCCTGCAGGTGGTTTTCCTGCTGCTGGAGGTGCGTGCGGGCATTATGAAACTTTGTCTCCCAGAGGCCCACGTTCTTCTCGTGGACGGCAACCTGGCGCCCTATCTTCTGAAATCTACTGCTGGCCACCAGGAGCTTCTGCGAAGCAGACTTGGTGGAGCCCCGCTCAGCACGAAAGGACGCCAGCTTGGCACGCAGCGCCTGGGCTGCGGGCTGTTCGGAAGCTCGTCATCTCCATCTGTCGTGAGCATGTCCAGAGCGTTCTGGAGCAACTGAATCTGCTGGCCGATGGGGGCGCTGGACTTTGCGCCGTCCTCGGTGACGTCATCACCTGCAGGCCGAAGAGGCGGGGCAGCAGGAGCCTCTGCGGCGCCCACTGGCGGCGGGCTCCTGCCGCCCGGCACCTCTGGACCTCCCCGACGACGACCCCTGCCATTGGACCGCCGACGTCTGCCACGGCCTTCACGCTCGGCTGGGGCATCCCTGCCGCCGCGCGGGCTCTGCTGGGGAGGACCATCCTTTATGTTTTCCCATGGGCTCCGCACTGCCAACACCAAGAGAGGTTCCATGATGTTGGCGCCTGGCATGTGCCACATGTCCATGCATAGTCCCGCGGCCCACAGTTCCCGCCGCCACGCCCGGCGGGCTTTCTTCCTCCCCCCCCTCCTCCTCCTCCTCCTCCTCCTCCTCCTCCTCCTCCTCCTCCTCCTCCTCAACCCGTTTCCCTTATAAATAACTTCGTTGTGTCGCATCCCGAGACGTATCGGCAGGGCGGGCTGAACGTTTCGCCTGAGACTTCTTCACCATTTATGATCCTGAAGATGATATGTGCAGAAGCTTCATGGATGGAGGGCGGGCAGTTTTCAAAAAGTGTACCTGGCATTAGCGCCCCGCACAAATTCGTCGTAAAAGCTTGCAAGAGTTCCACGGATAGAGTGTGGGTCATTGCCTACATGTTGCTCTCACCTTAGCGCCGCACAAATTCGTCATAAAAGCTTGCAAGAGTTCCACGGATAGAGTTTGTGCCAGTGTCTACATGTTGCTCTCGCCTTAGCGCCGCGCAAATTCGTCGTAAAAGCTTGCGCGAGCTTCACGGATGGAGGGCCGCTCCTGTTCAAAATGAGACTCTCGCTTCAGCGCCGCGCACAACATTCGTCTTAAAGGATGGCAACAGTTGAAAATTGTCGTTGGTGAAAGTCCCAGGGATGGTGTTCTGGCACGATTTAGGATTGTCAGGACGAAGCAGTAACGCTGATTCGCGGCGTTGACGTCCCAGGAATGGCGTTGTTGCACGATGCAAAATTATCAGACGGTTGTCTTCCAGTGGGGCACTTCACGCAATGAAAATACATTACTGTAGGGGCCTCCGAAGGAGGAACTTGGAGGGAGGGTTTATCACAGCATCGTTGATGCGCCTTGGGTTTACGCTGGTCCTCCCTCCAATCCTGCTCCTTGGGCAATTCCTGGCACGGGCTGGTCCGCTTCCAGTCGGGTGGGGAAGCCAGCAGACGGGGAATCGTCCCCACTACAGCCGGGCAGTCTCCTGACTCCAGCAGGAGGGGGGAGGAGCATGACGAGCATGGGCATCAGAACACACGCCCTGACCAGGTGCCAAGCGCGGCGCAGCACTGGAAGGGAAGAGACGGGGAGGAGGAGGGGGGGGGGCCGGCAGCAGACAGGCGGGAGGGGCCGAGGAGGAGCGACCCCTGCAGGGCCCCAACGCCCCCTTGTGGCCGCACGGGTCCTGGGAAAAATCGCCGTCGCCCCTGTCAGGGCGGCTGTTTCTGCCTGCGGCGCGCGGCCCTGCGCCGCGGACTCGCCCACGCAGGACACGCGGCCGGGCGGCGCTACCGCTGGCCACGGCTGGCACACGTCATGATTGCTAGGGCTCCCAACTTCGCGCTTCGCGCTCCGCGAAGCGCGAAGCGCGAATAACTTCGCGCTCTCGCGCCGCCCCCCCAAAGGGAGAAAAGGAGGACGAGGAGGAGGGGGAGGAGAAACGAGGACCGCGAAGCGCGAAGCGCGAATAACTTCGCGCCCCACCACCACCGCCCGACAGCCGACGTCGCGAAGGAACCGCAGCGTCGAGAGAGAGCTCACGACCAGAACACCCTGAGGCCCACTCTCACACACGGCCCTCTCGAGCTGGATCGATCCGCGAGGGCACCAGGTGACCCGACGTGGGGCGAGAACGCCCGCCGTGGTCGCCATGGTCTCGCCGCGACGGCCGCATGTCTGGGCCCGCTTCCAGGCAGGAATCTGCTCAAAACGGCTCCCCAGAGCCCTCTCGGGAAGACGACGCTCATGACGATGACGGTGGCAATGGCAGTGACACGAGCGGGGGCGCGTGCGACGACCATGGCGATGCTGATGATAATCATGGTGACCGTGATGGGCCGACAACACGAGGAGGAGGAGGAGGAGGAGGAGGAGGAGGAGGAGGGGGAGGACGACAACGACGACGACGACGACGACGACGACGACGACGACGACGACGACGACGTCAGCCCCGCCGTCGACGCCGCCGCCGTCGCAGCGCGGCACGGGAGGCGCCTTCACCTCCGACTCGTCAAGGTGCTGCTGGGAGCGGCCCACCGAAGGGTGCGGGTCCTGGGAGGGCGCTGGCCACGCGGGGCGGGCTCATGAGCTGGCCCGTCTCCGCGCTACGCGTCCTCCCTCCCCCGCTCCCTGCCCATCCCCTCCCCTCCCTGCCCTGTCGTCCCCTCCGTCCGCCCCCCCCCCCGCCCTGCCCTCCCCTCCCCTCCCTACCCCCCTCCGCTCCCCGTCACTCTCCCTCCTGAAGGGAAAAACAAGAAGATTCTCCCGGTGCGACCCTACCTAGGAGTTGGAGCGCCTAGGAAAGCAGCATTAGTAGCAATAGTAACGCTAAGCTAAAGTTAAGCTAAAGCTAAGCTAAAGTTAAGCTGAAGCGAAGCTAAAGCGAAGCTAAAGCGAAGCTAAAGCGATGCTAAAGCTAAAGCTAAGCTAAAGCTAAGCTAAAGCTAAGGTAAAGCTAAGCTAAAGCTAAGCTAAAGGTAAACTAAAGCTAAGCTAAAACTCAGCTAAAGCTCAGCTAAAGCTCAGCTAAAGCTAAGCTAAAGCTAAGCTAAAGCTAAGCTAAAGCTAAGCTAAAGCTAAGCTAAAGCTAACTTAAAGCTAAGCTACAGCTAAGCTAAAGCTAAGCTAAAGCTAAGCTAAAGCTAAAGCTCCCAAGGGACTGGGGGAACCGCGGGGCGGATGCCGGGGGAACCGCCCGGGGCGGGTAGCACTGCCCGGCCCTTTAAGCCAAGATATTAAGAACTCTTCTAGGCAGAGCCTAGGTAGGGAAAAACGGAACAACACGCAAGCTTTCGGTGGCCCCTGCAAATACATCTTAACAGGCGCGTTCCACTACTCGCAAAGTAACTACTCGCAAATGGCCTGGATCCGCCGCGCGGACCTCACCAACTGTACGGCCGGACCTAAGACAGAAGAGCATCCCCAAGAACATGAGACCCTCCGCCAGCCAAACTGAAGAACGTTCGAGGGTGCCCTCACCCAGGAGGCACAAGAGCACGCAACGAGCACCAAGAACACTACGGTATCCTCGCCGAGCCGACCTCGATCTTACACCTCGGTCCGACCGTATGCGTATGCTCGTTGTCGTTCGATCCTGCATCTTGCAGCGCTCCCCGAGCATCATCTGTGGTGCAAGCAGAGTCGCCAAGCGGGCCCGTGGCCCGCCCCCGACTCCAGCCAGCACCGAGGGAGAAAGAAGGGAAAGAAGGGAAAGGAGGTGGAGGAGGAGGAGGAGGAGGAGGAGGAAGAGAAGAGGTAGCCCCCTCCTCCAACACTTGCCCTCTCCCGCCACTCCCTAGAAGAAGAACAACTCCCAACAACCTCATCACCGAGCGCCAACCACCCTCCGCGCGCGAGTCCAGCTTGCTAAACTTCGCCTGGGGCGCGCGCGACCCCGCGCCGGCGAGGAGGGGGGAAGGACAGAAGGAGGGGGAGGAGGACGCGGAGAAGGAGGAGGAAGAAGGGGGAGGGCGTGGGAGGAGGAGGAGGAGGAGGAGGAGGAGGACGAGGAGGACGAGGAGGACGAGGAGATCGAGGAGGAGGAGGAGGAGGAGGAGCAGGAAGGGGGAGGAGGGGAAGGAGGAGGAGGAGGAGGCGCCAGCGGAAAAACAAGACGCGGATGGCGACGGCAACGGGGAGAGGAGGAGTAGACGGAGCATGCGGAAGAAGAGGACGTGGAGGTGGATGGGGGGGAGGATAAGCGAAGAGTAGGAGGCAGGGGGATGAGAGGGGGGGAGGGGGGGGAGGAGGGGCAAGAGGGGCAAGAGGAGGAGGGGAAGGGGGGGGAAGGGAGGAAGGGGAGGAGCAGGAGGAAAAGGAGAAGAAGGAGGAGGAGAAGGAGGGAGTGGAGAAGGAGGGAAAGAAGGAGGTGGAGGGGCAGGGGGGGAGGAAGGAGAAACAGGAAGGAGGACAACGAGGAATACGAAGGCGGAGGAGGTGAAGAGGGACGGGACGATGACAAGCTAGGTGCGCTCGCGTCCGCTCTGACGTCCAACCCCTCCCTCCCATCCCTTACCACGGCATAGATATATTCTCTCTCCGCACAATCGGATGAAGAGCAGGGCAACGATCGCGAGAGGGTACGCGATGCATGGTAGAGCACGGCATGGCACGGCGCAGAAGAGCACGGCAGAGCGTCGCATGCCACAGCACGGCGTGGCATTGCGCAGAGAAGCACTGCATCACAACGCATTGCAACGCAAAGCATGGCATCGCACGGCGGCGCAAAAAAACACAGCGCCGCACAGCATGCCACGGCATGGCGCCTGGGCCCGTGGAGGGTACGTGGGCCCGTGGAGGGTAAGGGGATCGTCTTGGAGGGCTCCCAACTTCGCGCTTCGCGCTGCGCGAAGCGCGAAGTGCGAATAACTTCGCGCTCTCGCACCACCCCCCCAAAGGGAGAAAAGGAGGACAAGGAGGAGGAGGAGAAGGAACGAGGACCGCGAAGCGCGAAGCGCGAATAACTTCGCACCCTCGTGGGAGCCCTTGGGTCTGGAGTCGTGGCTCCATGTCTAGCTCCTTGGGCTCCCCGAAAAGCTCGCTCTGCTTTACCATCTCCTTTCCAGGGAAGAGACAGGGCTCCCGCGTGATGCTTCCTGAAAACAACGACGCCCCAAAGTGTGGGGGGGGGGGGGGCTTCTGCGGCCCCAAAAACTCAAAGAATCGGCACCGAATGCGCAATCACTTACGATGGTTTTTGCGGCGGCACTTTTTCTAGATTTTGGGGCCTGATGGAAAGACCGACAACGCCCGCGCTGCGGCAGGAAAAAAACACAGACGCACAAACGGGGCCAGCGCTGTTGAGGGAGCAACATTTTGAACAAAAACCCAAGCGAAAACCCAACTCCTGGGAATCCTGTGTTAATTAGCCTGGTGAAGGGACCAACCATCTGCAATTGTGAGCACCGTCGTTGTATGCACCGCATTCGGAGGAGCTCCCTACAGGGCCACGAAACGTGTGAGGGGTATGCCAAAATTTGCCCGGTGGGCGCATGCGAAAGCAGCCACTAAGGCCTTCGGTGGAGCTCCCTATGGGGCCACGGAACGCTTGAGAGCTGTGCCGAAATAGGTGCGGTGGGCGCATGCGAACGCAGCCATTGAAGCCGTCGGTGGAGCTCACTTTGAGGCCGCGAGATGTGTGGTGGGTGTGCCGAAATGGGTACGGTGAGCGCATGCGAACGCAGCCACTGGGGCCTTCGGTGGAGTTCCCTGCGGGGCCACGAAAGGCGTGAGGGGCGTGCCGAAATGGGTGTGCGTGACGCATGCGGGCGGTGGCATTGGGGCCTTCGCTGGAGCGCCCCACGGGGCCACGAAACGTGTGAGCGGTGTGCCGAAGTGGGTGTGCGTGACGCATGCGGGCGGTGGCACTGGGGCCTTCGGTGGAGTTTCCTATGAGGCCACGAAACGTGTGAGGGATGTGCCAACATTGACGTGCGTGAAGCATGCGGGCGGTGTCACTGGGGCCTTCGGTGGAGCTAGCTCCCTGTGGGGCCGCGAAACGTGTGAGGGGTGTGCCGAAATGGGTGTGCGTGACGCATGCGGGCAGTGGCACTTGGGCCTTCGGTGGAGCTTATGATGGGGCCACGAAACGTGTGCAGGGTGTGCCGAAATGGGTGTGCGTGACGCGTGCGGGCAGTGGCACAGGGGCCTTCGGTGGAGCTCCCTGTGGGGCCGCGAAACGCGTGAGGGGTGTGCGAGGTGGGTGTGCGCGACGCATGCGGGCAGTGGCACTGGGCCTTCGGTGGAACTCCCTGTGGGGCCACGACCGAAATGGGTGTGCGTGACGCATGCGGGCGGTGCCGTTGGGGCCTTCGGTGGAGCTCCCTGTGGGGCCCCTAAACGTGTGAGGGGTGTGCCGACATGGGTGTGCGTGACGCATGCGGGCAGTGGCACTGGGGCATTCGGTGGAGCTCTCTGTGGGGCCGCGAGACGCGTGAGGGGTGTGCCGAAATGGATGTGCGTGACGCATGCGGGCACTGGCACTGGGTGGAGCTCCCTATGGGGCCGCGAAACGCGTGAGTGATGTGCCGAAGTGCGCGTGCGTGACGCATGCGGGCGGTGCCACTGGGACCTTCGGTGGAGCTCCCTGTGGGGCCACGAAACGTGTGAAGGGTGTGCCGAAATTGGTGTGCGTGACGCATGCGGGCGGTAGCACTTGGGTTTTCGGTGGTGCTTCTTATGGGGCCACGGAACGTGTGAGGGAGTGCCAAAGTCATCCTGGCCAAAGACCCAACCACATGCAGTTGTGGGCACCGCTATTGTGAATATCTTTTTCAGCGAAACTCCCTATAGGGGCCACGAAGCGCCGCACTGGGTGGGGTGAAAGCATGTGGGCGGTCCCACTGGGGCCGTCGGTGGAGCTCCCGGTGGGGCCACGAAACGCTGTACTGCCAACTTGGCTGTGCGGGACGCACGCGTACGGTGGTCCCACTGGGGGCTTCGGTGGAGCTCCCCATGAGGCCACGAAGCGCTGCATTGGGCGGGTGAAAATGTCAAGTTCCGCGTGCGGGACGCATGCGTACGGTCCCACTGGGGGTTTCGGTGGAGCTCCTCATGAGGCCACGAAACGCTGTACTGGGTATGGCGAAAATGCCAAACTGGGTGTGCGGGACGCACGCGGACGGTCCCACTGGGGGCTCCGGTGGTGCTTCCTATGGGGCCACGAAACGATGTATTTGGTGGGTGAAACTGCCACATTGGGCGTGTGGGGGCGCATGTGGGCGGTCCCACTGGGAGCTTCGGTGGAGCTCCCTATTGGGGCCACGAAACGCTGCACTGGGTGGAGAAAATGTCAAATTGCGCGTGCGGGACGCATGCGGGCGGTCCCACTGGGGCCGTCGGTGGAGCTCCCTATGGGGCCACGAAACGCTGTACTGGGTATTGGGAAAATGCCAAATTGGCTGTGCCCGACGCACGTAGACGGCCCCACTGGCCACGAAACGCTGTACTGGTTGTGGCGGGCGCATGTGGTACCTCCCCCCCCCTTGGGCCTTAGGTGGAGCTCCCTATGGGGCCACGAAACGCCGTACTGGGTGTGGCGGACGCATGGGGTACCCCCCCTTGGGGCCCTGGGTGGGGCTGCTTATGGGGCCACGAAACACCGTACTAGGAGTGGCGGACGCATGGGTTACCCTCCCCCTGAGACCTTAGGTGGAGCTCCCTATGGGGCCGCGAAACGCCGTACTGGGTGTGGCCGACGCATGTGGTACCCCCCCCCCTTGGGGCTTTAGGTGGAGCTGTTTATGGGGCCACGAAACGCCGTACTGCGTGTGGCGGACGTAGGGTGGTACCCCCGCCCCTGGTGCCTTAGGTGGAGCTCCCTATGGGGCCGCGAAACGCCGTACTGGGTGTGGCGGACGCATGTGGTACTCCCCCCCCTGGGGCATTAGGTGGAGCTCTTCATGGGGCCACGAAACGCCGTACTAAATGTGGCGGACGTAGGGTGGTCCCCCCGCCCCTGGTGCCGTAGGTGGAGTTCCCTATGGGGCCACGAAACGCCGTACTGGGTGTGGCGGACGCATGTGCCCCCTGGGGCTTTAGGTGGACCTGCTTCTGGGGCCACGAAACGCCGTACTGCGTGTGGCGGACGTATGGTGGTACCCCCGCCCCTGGTGCCTTAGGTGGAGTTCCCTATGGGGCCGCGAAACGCCGTACTGGGTGTGGCGGACGCATGTGGTACCCCCCCCCCTGGGGCATTAGGTGGAACTCTTCATGGGGCCACGAAACGCCGTACTAAATGTGGCGGGCGTAGGGTGGTGCCCCCGCCCCTGGTGCCGTAGGTGGAGTTCCCTATGGGGCCACGAAACGCCGTACTGGGTGTGGCGGACGCATGTGGTACCCCCCCCCCCTGGGGCATTAGGTGGAGCTCTTCATGGGGCCACGAAACGCCGTACTAAATGTGGCGGACGTAGGGTGGTACCCCCCCTGGGGCCTTAGGTGGAGCTCCCTATGGGGCCGCGAAACGCCGTACTGGGTGTGGCGGACGCATGTGGTACCCCCCCTGGGGCCTTAGGTGGAGTTCCCTATGGGGCCACGAAGCGCCGTACTGCGTGTGGCGGACGTAGGGTGGTACCCCCCCCCTGGGGCCTTAGGTGGAGCTGTTTATGGGGCCACGAAACGCCGTACTGGGTGGAGTGGGACGCGGGGCGCTGTCTCTTCAAAACGAGGACCCAACACCACAGGATGGTTTTGGAATAAGGGGGCCGAGGGGAGGAGGGCGGAGGGGGGGAGGAGGAAGGAGAACGCGGGGACCGTCTCTTCGAAACGAAGACCCAACACCACAGGATGGTTGGGAAAAAACTGCACGCGGAGGGGGGGCAGACATATTCTGCACGTCATCAGGGGAGAGAGGAGAGTAGTATTCATAGTGTGTAATTGT